GGCCGATACGCTCCCACAGAGAGGGTCTCCTCAGGGTGCCGTCAGCCAGACAGTGCCGGCTGGCGACCCCCAGGGGGAGGGCCTTCTCGGTTGGAGCTCCCACCCTATGGAACGAACTACCCCCAGAGATCCGGGTGATCCCGGATCTCCCCTCCTTCCGCCGCGCCCTCAAGACATGGCTATTTAAGTTGGCAGGACTTGCCTAAGGGTTATTTTTAGCTTGGTTTTATAATATTTTTTAAAAAATAATAATGGCCTAATAATATTTCATTTTAATCAACATTTTAACTTTAGTATTTTTGTATTTATGTATTTGTTTTTAAAAGGCTGTAAGCCGCCCTGAGTCCGCAGGGAGAAGGGCGGGGTAGAAATATAAATAATAAATAAATAAATAAATAACTACTACTACTACTACTACTACTACTACTATTATTATTATTATTATTATTATTATTATTATTATTATTATTATTATATTCAATTACACACAGCTTTGGTTATCAATAAATCAATAAATCTATCATCGTATGGTGACTTTTCCCCAAATGTTGCTACTACTTCCATTCTTTAGCTGTCTTCTTGTTACTACTTCCATTCTTAAGCAGTCTTTTCTGTTGGTTAATATCAGGTTAAAATTATCAGAGCCTCTTGGACCATTTTTTAGCAAAATTTGTCTCCCAACAAATTTTGGGGTGTTTGAAAGAGCTTCAGTTTGCTTTTGGAAAGCAGCACTCACATTTTTAGTTTCACTGGATTACACAGTGATGGAAACAATACTAGCATTACTTCTATTTGTTTCTCCTTTTGTTTTAATCAACATGCTCTCTACAACAATACCAAATCCATTCATTTTAGTTTCTGAAAAGAAATGGATATTGTTAATATAGAGTGCAACTCCTTCTCCCTTCTGTGCTTCAGAATTATATTCAGTCATGGGAGCCATCACACTATGCCTCAGTTATTCCTATTGGATCATGTTCACTTTCTATGTTAAGAATTCAAGCTTTCTGAACATTTATTAAGCCTTTTTACAGCCATAATGCCTCCTCTTTTATCTGAATGCTTAATCAGAGATTTAATCTCCAACCGTCATATGATTTAATTTAAAGCTATTGTGTAGCTTATCCTGCTTTGGCCAATCATATTTTAACCAATCATCTTTAGGCGCAATCCATCTCATGGCAACAATCTATCATCCAGCTAATTCAAATCAGGGTCCCATACAGCAAATTTCTCCTTAGCCTATATAGCCATTAATTTGCAATGTTTTTCTTTCCTAGAAAAAAAGATTTTTATTTTATAGTGGACAGCTCAGTATCAAAGGGTGCAGAACACACATTCCATGTTAGGAAGCATTAAAAAAGGGATTTAAAATAAAAATCACAATATTACAAAATTATAGTATATTTACACCCGGAACAGGGTTACTACTTAGTGTTATTTCCAGTTTGGAGGTAGTGTGCTTTTAAATTCTTTAGGGTACAATAGCGAGATCTGCTTATGTCTCCCATCTCCTGCTTAGGAGCAGTCCTAAGACATTTGCACCACTGTGAGAAACAAAATGCTGAAATTAAATGCATCTTGATCTGATCTAGTACTATTATATTTACCTTCTTCTCTTAGCATTTTGACATGGTATATCTATTTATACCAAAAATGAAGAAAAGTAGAAAGAAAGAGATAAGAGAAACTACCTTCTCCTCCATTGGCCAAGTGGATAAAAGGGATTCCAAAGAGCTCTTTCTAGGAACATCTAAGCATTTCAACACCATATTCTATCTTTTATATTATACAGAGGTTATAGTATCTGTGCTAATTCTCACAACACATTTTCAACTTTCTTCTGGCCTTGTATGTCTATAGAGATTCTCAGTCATCCAAGTCATGGTTGTCCCAAAGGTGCTTTTCAAAAAGCAACTGGACTTTCTTTGTTTTTCCTTGAAGATGTTTAGCTTTTCATCCAAGAAGCTTCTTCAGTTCTGACAGAATGGTAGAGAATGGAAGGATTTATGCTCCTTGCAGTCATCTGGTCATTAGCACTCACTCTGAGAGTCATTGAGGCCCATTGGAGGTTTATCTGTGTCCTCAGGGTCACCTGAATAGTAAATTGGGTGTGGAACCTTCTTGGAATCACTGAAAGGACATATTCCTTACAACACAGCCCTTTTGGCAGTTCCAAGAAGAGATCTGGGATTCACATGCATAGTTTACAAGGTGTAGTTTGACCAGCCTATACTACCTGCTTATTTAAAGCAGCAATTAAAACATCAGCCAAACCTTATAACCAGAGCTTTGAGATCTATCCCAGGTTACCTCTGGAACCCCACCTGAGCAGCTGATCAAGTGGGGTAGGCGGAGCCTCAGAAAACTCCGAGGCAAAGGAGATTATTTGTCCATGACAAGAGACTAATAACAACATATTATATTCTAAATCAGCATCAGTACCCTGGGACAAATTACACATTAGCTCTGGAAGAGTTCAGTTGGAAATCAAATTGGTTAAAAAGACAATATTTCTGACAAACATGCTGTTTAATAATTGCAAGGAAGATATTTGCAGTGCACAAAAATAAATTGTGTTTTTATTTTTAGGATCATTATGATTTTGGCATGAGAGCTATAAAAACTGTATTAATAAGAGTTGGTCAAAGGCGTCAGGATTTGAAACTACAGTAAGTTTTCTTAAGTGGTTTAATATTAAAAATAGAACATTATTATATCTCAATTTGTGATCTACAGGTTTTATATAAAGGTAGTTTTAATAGAGGAGAGACCTGCTTTACTGTAATACTATCTGTATTTGTTTTGAAACAAAGAAAACTAAGTTCAATAGATTTATCTATGCATGATTATTTAGAATATAGTCTTTCAAACTTAGAAGGATTTATTGCCTCATAGAATTGCCACCTAAATTACCAAGATTCTAAATATTTCTATTGGAATATCTGTATTCATTATCAGGAAAAATGCATTTCTATCCATGAAATTAAGTTTCTTGATCAGTTTTGTTTTTGACTTGCAAAGCATTCAGATGATAGTTCTTTCATACCATAGAATGAAGGGAGGGAGGGAGGGAGGGAGGATGGAAGGAAGGAAGGAAGGAAGGAAGGAAAGAAGGAGCTTTGACTGACAACTTAGCCATTCCCTAAATATCATTGAGAGGTATATGGATTAATAAAATAATTTATTAATTTTTAGTTTAGAGTAGACATATTGATATCCACATTAGTGGGAAACTTCTGCATACTTTTTGATGTAAATTTATTTTCTTCTTTTTGCTACATTTACTTACAAACCATACAAATTAACTTTTTAATTTTTAGATGAAAAATATTTATTATTTATTTATTTACTTTGAATATGACAAAAATTCAGTCATGGATTGCTAAATATCTCTTATATCTGAGCATATTTATTTATTTGAGAAATTTATAAAAATGCCAACTTGCAACAATAGTTCTGAGCAGCTAATAAATTAAAACTTATTAAAAACAGACTAATATGAATTGGAAAAGAAGCAAAAAAGCAATAAAAATGCACAACTTTAGCAATATATGATTTAAGAATATATCCTTAAAAAGTGCAGCATGGTGGATTAATGAAAACATTATGAGACTTAAAATAACTCATGAAATTCTAATTATTAGTTTTCTTGTATAATAGATACAATAAAAAACGGTTTTCTGCAATAGAGGAAACTCTAATCACAATTGAAATACTGAAAGAAGTGAATTTACCAAAGTTAATTGCTGAGGATGTTCCAGTATTTGAAGATATTATCAGAGATCTCTTTACAGAAATGGAAGTTCCAAAAGTAAATCCTAAGCGATTAGAGGTAATAAAAATAAAAATAATTATTGTTGACAGAAATATTAGCTATACAAAAATATTTTTAAAATTGAGTTTTTTAAATGTTATTATCCATTCAGTTTGAGCATTCTAATGCTGTAAAAGAATTCAGAGCTGACCTTGGGGTAAGTATAAGTGAACCATCAAAAAGGGACTTAGTCAAGAGTTGACAAAGTCCAGAGATAGGAGGAACTGGGAGGAAAAAACTCAAAATAACTGTGCCTTGATTTTAGTATAAGATGGGACAGAGAAAAATGTAGACAGGCTTTAAGGATCCTGTTAATATATGCTACAATAGTAAAGCAGCATTCCTGGAATCCCAGTAATATTGACAGATGTTCAGGGAAGATGTGGCATATTCAGGTCTACTCAATGTAAAGACAGTGAAATTGATTGTACCTTTTTAATTTTTTCCTAATACTGCCAGAATAGCTATATTTTTTCTTAATACTAAATTTTGGTTATTTTATGTATTGTCAAATTATTGATAAGTCATCAAACTTCTAACCATCTGTCTATGTTTTTAAATAGAGTGCAATATCTCTTGCAGTACATCATTTATCCTTGCAGCCTTGGGAAAATCAGAAAGAGAAGGTTATACAACTATACAATCAGCTTATGGTGAGTGCAATGGGATGTTAATCAAGTAAAGTGTGATATGGAGGTTAAATATGATACAAATATGTAGAACTCAAAATTTTACAGTGAGATCTTACATTAAGGGAATTGTATTCCAGTAAATGACAGAAATGGATGTTTGTGGTGGAATGTAGTCAGGAGTCACAGGAGGGAGGATCTCTTTTCCAGAGAGCAAAGAGCTTGGAATGGCTGCTCAGCAGGAAGAGAACAAAGTTGGACCCTCCCAGCAATTCACAGAATATATCTACAGTTATTACAAATAATTATTTTAGTCTGGCAAGATTCTGTTATAAGGGAATAACAATAAAGGAACTACTCAGAAGTAACTCCATATAATTGTTCTTGGTTCTTTGGACCTGACATGTTGCAGCAATTGAGGAGTACAAAATCCCCATCCGCATATGCTTATAAATATGCACTTTGTAAGACCTTTAGTGTGTATTTACTAAAATCTAAGTATTAATCATCTAACGAATATAAATATTCATAATTCTGTATTCATTTATCTATTTTTGTCATATTTATGTAGTGTATATCAGAGGTGGTGACCCTTTGAGAGCTGAACGCAATGAAATTTCATTTTAATGTATGCCGATTAGTACACATTCAAAGTGTCAATAAAGTTTCTATTCTATTCTAATGTTGCAGATTTGATATTTTAAAATATATTTTCAGGCTCGTGTTGGTGTGATGCTTGTAGGCCCCACAGGTGGAGGAAAAACTACCATTAGAACAATTTTAGAAAAAGCCTTGATAATCTTTCCATTAGTTGATATGGAAAGTGCTACCAAACTTGATGTTTTTCAGGTAAGTATTTTTTTAAAATTACTCTTATGGTATGTATTAGTAGTTGATCTCTTTTCCTGTAACCTTTCGGAGCAATAATCCATGTGAACCTTGAAATTTTAAATATTTACTAGTTATTAAACAATGAGTAGTTGGCAGTCATGTTGAGTTATTGTCATAAAGTATTCTGGTGAGATTTCTGACACAAAGCTGAACATCCAACAACTGAAAGAAGCTGTGCTTGATAGGGTAGCATGGAAAGCGCTTGCCTATAAAGTTGCCAAGAGTCGAACATGACTGAATGGTTAACAATAAGAGTTGGCGGTACTCAGTCTAATTTCAGAAAGCCAAGGAAGCTTTGGTTTGGTTGATACTTGAATGGGAGCATACCAAGAAATTACAGGACAATATGTTGAATAAAAATAGAGAAATTATTCAGAAAGAAAGCAGTGGCAAAACATATCTATATTGTTTTCAAAAGATTACTTATATGCGTTCATCAATTCACCAAAGATCATACTTGATTTGAAGGAGACTTTACTATGGTACTGTTGTGTTTGCCGTTCGCAAGCAATTGATGAAGACGCATTGTGTAAACAATAGCTCTTTATTCTCCTTCTCCAACTCCAAGCAAAGAGCAAAAGGCTCGCAGGCCTTTTATAGGGTGAGGAACCCAGCTAGTGCTAACCAATAGGAAGGCAGCATTTTCGCGCCTTGCACATGTGCGCAAGGCTAGCGCCGCTCAGTCTGGTCCCGGGCAGCTTTTGCAATCCCCGGGACCATTTGCAACCTTTCTGGGCCTGCTGAGTTTCCTCAACAGGCCCAGGACACAACACCCCTCCCCCCTAGATAGAACACACACAAAATTCCAATTTCTTACAATAATAATAAAATAAAATAAAAATAATATTCCACTCCATACAACACCCTTCTATAACTAATAGGGTTGGCTAACCAACCACTCTCTAATGTGGCTTTGCGTGTCTATCTATTTTCCCAACGTAGGTTCATCCCCATGACCTAGACTTGTAAGGTCCCTTGTGTTGACAGGAACCTCACATAATTGCCTAGATGCTTAGGAGGGGCCTTAGCCCTTTGTGACCTACGCAAGGTTAGGGAGGGGGCCTGGCTTGTCAGCTCACCTGCTCGGCTAGGCAGACCAGGACTTGTACTTAAGGGTGCCTGGCCTACTGGCCCGTCTAATGGGCTCACTAGACCAGGACTTTTATGCATACGTTTTGCAGGTGACCCCTGGTGAGGCGTACTGGCGAATTTGCCAGAGCTCTTTCCAGGCTCCTGTAGAGCAGCTGGAATTCCCCAACCTTCTGAATTGGCTGAAGATTCCCCAACTACCCTGGGTGGCTCCAGGGAACTTAATCCCTCGAGCCCGCGACCAGTCTCAGACGTGACCTGCATTGCAGGATTGCCCCAATAGTTCCAGTCCCCTGTGGCCGAAGTGCCAATGTCAGGAGCCGCCTCTATGGCAAACTCCTCCTCAGGTGAATTCCCATTTGGAGCTCTTGCTGATATGCATGACTCTCTGTTCGGCGCAATAGCTGAACCGTGAGGATGCCCTTGCTCCACCCCTGGGAAATCCCTAGCGTCCTGCGGTAACTCCCAGGAGCAATGGGGCAGTGTCTCAGAATGTTGACCTGAAGTGTGATCTGGCTCCTGGGCCCCCTCCCCCCCGAGAGCGGAGGCAGGGGTGGAAGCATCATGGGACAACTGCCAACGCAGTTGATCGATGTGACGCCTCAGGACGCGACCATCTCCCAGGGTCACTTCGTATGATAGAGGTCCAGAGATCTTACAGATGACAGCAGGAACCCAGAGGTGTCCAGGACCATAGTTTCTAGTCCAGACCGGATCGCCCACCTGAAGTCTCCTAGGTGCCTGCGGCTGTGACACCTGTGAAGCTACCCGGTCAGGGTGCAGTCTATCCAACTTAGTAATAAGGCGGCGACCCCAGGGCAGTTCAGCTGGGCTCTTTCCGGTGGCAGTGCATGGTGTGGTGCGATGTGCAAGAAGGAAATCTGCTAACCTGTGATGCCAGCTGCCGTATGTTAGTCTTTTGAGTGTGTCTTTGGTGGTGTGCACCATTCTCTCCGCTTGCCCATTGGTGGAAGGGTGAAAGGGAGCAGACGTTGCATGCCGGATCAGGTTGGCCTGAAGAAACGCCTGGAACTCAGAAGATGTAAATTGAGGACCATTGTCAGATACAAGTACATCTGGAAGGCCATGGGTTGCAAAGATTCCTTTTAACACCTGGATGGTCCTGGCAGTAGTAGTGGAGGAGACAGGTACAACCTCTAGCCACTTGGAGTGGCTATCCACAAGGATAAGGAAGAATTGCCCCTGAAAGGGCCCAGCATAATCTAAATGTACTCGTGACCAAGGGGTGTGCGTCTCCTCCCACCTGTGTACTGGGGCCTGAGGCATTTCAGGCCGTGATTGTTGGCACACTTGGCACCCGTGCACCTGAGCTTCAATAGCTTTGTCAAGCCCCGGCCACCAAAGATGGCTGCGCGCAAACGCTTTCATATGCACAATTCCGGGATGACCTTCATGCAGTGAGGACAAGATCCTAGACCTCAATGAGGCAGGAATAACTACTCTACTCCCCCATAGTAGGCACCCATTAAAGGTAGACAGTGCGTTTCTTCTTTGCCAGAAACTTTGAAATGTCGCATCTGGACACGTGTCAGGCCATCCTGACAATACCCAGGTCAGCACGCGTGCAAGCGTGTGATCAGTGGCAGTCTCTGCAGCCACGTCCCTAGCATTGAGGGGAGATTCAGGCAACTCTTGAATAGACAGAATATTAATGGCAGGAGCAGGGTCAGGCTCTACCTGTTTCAGAGGTAGCCTGCTTAGGCCATCTGCATGGCCTATCTCTTTACCCGGTTTGTGAACTAGAGTGTAGTCATATGCTGACAGGAAGATGGACCATCTCAGCATACGAGGAGAAATGATATGAGGTGTCTGTTTATTGGTTGTAAACAACCCCAACAGAGGCTTGTGATCTGTATAGACTGTGAAGTGGCAGCCATATAAGAAATCATGGAATTTCTTAATGCCAGCCACTATTGCCAAGGCTTCTCTGTCAATCTGAGCATAATTCCGCTCTGCAGATGACAGAGTCCTTGAATAGTAGGCCACAGGGACCTGTGTCCCATCAGCCTTCAGATGACTAAGTACTGCTCCCACTCCATAAGGAGATGCATCACATGCGATGCAAACAGGCAGTTGCTCATTGAAATGTGCTAAAACAGCATTGGAAGTGAGCAAGGCCTTAACCTCATTGAAACTCCTGTCATGGACTTTAGTCCACTGCCATGGAGCCTGCTTGTCTAAGAGCCTATGTAACGGCTCTGCCACAGCAGCCTTATGTGGGAGAAATGCATGGTAAAACTTCAAAAGTCCCAAGAAGGCTTGTAACTCATTCTTGGACTTTGGACTTGGGGCCTGCTGAATAGCGTGCAATTTGTCTTCTGCAGGGTGAATGCCTTGGGCATCAATCCTGAAACCCAAGAAGTCAGTTGAAGTGGCTCCTATCTTACATTTCTCCTACTTTAACTTAAGGCCTGCTTTGCGAAAACGAAGCAAGACAGCCCTTAATCTCTCTGCTAGATTTTGAGATGACTCCCCAGCAATGAGGACGTCATCAAAATAGGGGCAGACCCCAGGAATACCTCGAAGTGTGCTCTCCATTACACTTTGGAATATGCCAGGGGCTACATTTACCCCAAATTGCAATCTCTTGACCTTGAAGGCCCCCTTGTGAGTTACAATAGTCTGGGCCTCTGCAGCTGCCTCATCAACAGGTAGCGGTTGATAGGCCTGTGGCAGGTCAAGTTTCGCAAAGATGCGCCCCCCCCCCTTGAGGGAGGCCAGAATGTGGCTTACAGCAGGAACTGGATAAGCGTGCTGTTGCAACGCCTTGTTCGGTGTACATTTGTAATCAGCACATATACGTATTTCCCCATTAGCCTTTAGAGGCGTTACTATGGGGGTTTCCCATGGACTAGAATCCACAGGTTCTAAGATGCCCTGCTGGAGCAATTTGTCCAGCTCAGCATCTATTTTACCTTTGAGGGCAAAAGGTACCCTTCTAGGCTTAACCCTGATGGGCGTGATAGTGGGGTCCAACCGTAGCGCGATGGAAGGCCCCTTGTAGGATCCTAGCTCTGAACTAAACACATCTGCAAACTCCTTGCAGACCTCTGCAAGGCTTGCCGTTTGCAAATGGTGCAGCCCAGTTACCTGGATTCCCAGAGCCTCGAACCAATCAAGTCCAATAAGACTTGTACGATCACCCCCACCTACCACCACATCTAGGAGACCTTCAAAATCCTTATGCTGCACATTAAGGGTGGCCTCCCCCTTAACACACACCACAGAATTCTGAAAATCTGTATTAGATTTGATGGCCTGAGTTTAGCTCGAAGGCCGCTACTACTACAAATCCTTTTGAATGTGTTTATTGAAATAATGGAGAGAGCGGACCCAGTGTCCAACTCCATTAGTAAGGGAACCCCTTGCAAACTTACGTTAATGGGAAGCTTCTTCTTAAGGGGCTTGTGTGTCCCTGTTCTTAGAATGCTCCTGCGCGATGCGCAGAAACCCACCCTGTGTTGGCTGGTTGACCCTGGTACCTTTCTGAAACAATTCTTCCTGAGGTTGGACCTTCTCGCGACCCAAACAGACGGATGCAATGTGGCCTTGCCTGTCACACACCTGGCAAATGGCGGAACGGAACCTGCAATCAGCTCGCTTGTGGCGTCCTCCGCACCCGAAGCATTGAAGAACTGCTGGGGCCTTGTCCGGACATCCCTTCTGCCTCCTCTCAACTGGCTGGTGAAGTCTGTCCACCTCCTCTTCAGGATCCGCTTCTGATCCTTCTCGAGCGTCCTCTTGATGGACGGTTGCTGTGTCTGGAGGGTTCCTGGCGAGCCGCAATGCCTTCACAGCCCTGCCAGCTGCTTCCTCAGCTGCCACCTCTTGTAAGGCATCTTGGAAGGAAACATCTTCTTTTGCAAAGATCTTCTGTTGTAAGTCTCTGCTCCTCAAGCCACAAACGAAGCGATCTCGCAGCCTCTCTTACAGATCCTTGAACTCACAAGGCCTGGCCGCTTAAGGCAGCAATAAAGTCCGCAGCAGATTCATCCGGCCTCTGGTCTCTCTGCTCGAACGCGTGCCTCCAAACAATGATGGATAACTTCAGCTGGAAATGTTCCTTCAGCATCTTTTTCAGATCAGCATATGTTACTGACTCGAGAGGTGCAGGGGCCACCAGGTTTTCTGCGATGTCAAAAGCTTCTTGTCCACAGGCACACAGAAGAGTTGCTGCCTTCAGGCCGTCTTCTCTTATCTGATTTACTCTAAAGTAATTCTCCACCCATGCTACATAGGAGTTCCATCTCTCTGGGTGGGAGACATCGAAATCAGTTAAGCGGCCAATCTTCGACATCGTAGTTTACAATCTTCACCAATCGCTTCCTCTACAAGCTGATGTTTGGGAAAGGGTCCTGTAGCTGAACTCACTCCCCAGCGACGCTGTACTGGTGGAATGGGTCGCTGATGCAGACGCCGTCTTCCCTCGTCACGACTTCCTGGGTAAGTCCTTCTTCATTTCTTAAGCTTGCAAAGGATCCCACCTTCGTCGCCAGTGTTGTGTTTGCCGTTTGCAAGCAATTGACAAAGACGCATTGTGTAAACAATAGCTCTTTATTCTTCTTCTCCAACTCCAAGCAAAGAGCAAAAGGCTCGCAGGCCTTTTATAGGGTGAGGAACCCAGCTAGTGCTAACCAATAGGAAGGCAGCATTTTCGCGCCTTGCACATGCGCGCAAGGCTGGCACCGCTCAGTCTGGTCCCGGGCAGCTTTTGCAATCCCCGGGACCATTTGCAACCTTTCTGGGCCTGCTGAGTTTCCTCAACAGGCCCAGGACACAACAGGTACAACACTAGGTCCTTGCTAAATGTCCACTTGTTCAGTGATCATTCACATTTACGATGGTGCTAAATGAGGGAGACTTATGATGGGTTCTTGTAGTTGGGGCCATTGCAGTGTCCTCATAGTCATGTGATCATGATTTGAGTGCTCAGCAACCAAATTGCAGCAAAAATGTTTCAGTGTCCATGGGCCATGTGGTCATCATTTGTGATCTTGTGTACTTAGGATCAATAAGTAACAGAATAGACAGAACCCTTTTTCATGTTTTTGTACTTCTAGGAAATTAATAATTGCTCATTTAGAAGGAACTTTTTTCTTCCTCAGAGTAATTCAAAGAGAAGCAAAGTGGATACTTTTGTTGTAAACCCAAAGTGTGTTACTATTGATGAACTCTTTGGACAGACAAATCCTAGTACAATGGAATGGTCAGATGGATTATTATCATCAGCAGTTCGAGGATTTGCCAAACTTGGAATCAAAAAATCTAAAAGAAAAGATCCAAGCCTTGGTATAAATTCAGAAATGCAGGATTTATATACAGTGAGTACACAGTAATGTAGTAGGATATTGAGATATTCTTATTTTAAAATGTAGTTACACTTTCTTCATTTAGATATTACTGAGTATTTCGTTCACCTTTTCATTTAATAACTTACCAAATCCAGCACATTCTTCCTCAAAAAAATGGAAATGATTTATTGAAAAAAGGTAGATGAAATGATAGATTGATGATAGAAATGATAGATATCTTAGTTAGACACAGATCTATGTGCTTAGCTTTTAAAATCCTCAGTTTAAATGGTTACAATTATTTTAAAAGTATGATTCTCTGAGTTTTAAATTGCTACTTTACTCCTGTTTTCTTCCCAGGGCAATTTACTTTTTTGTTGGGTGTCCTCTATTTTTATCAGCCATATGCAAACACTTTCTTTCTTTGGAAACCCCCAAACATCTGTTTCCTGAATGTGTTGGAAGCATATTCCAATCTACTTCCTTTTCTAGCTTCCAGTTTTGCCTGTTTAGCCTTAGCTCTTATTGTGACTCCAACTAGGAGTAGAATTCATAGCCTGATTTTATTATGCTGTATTGTTATTTGTTTAAGATTCAAGAGATTTCAGTTTGAAATTGTCTGTGATTGGGAACTTCCCAAAATTTGTTACAAACTTAATTCAGTATTTAGCTTTGTAATTGTAGTCTTCCTTTCACCTGATTAATTTAAGGAAATAATCATTTCCTTTCATAAACATTTAAGGAAAATGTTTACCTTTTGTAAGTTATAATTATGTGATTTTTTTCTAATGTTACCTATTGCAGTATAATTATTTTCATTTCTATTTTTTAGCTGAATACAGTGAATGTAGCGGATGCAGTTGTGCCTGATGAAATTATACAATCAGCAGAGAACATTCAGTGTTAGTATAATTTTGTCATAACAAATATGGGAATTATTTCATTATTCTGTGTATCTTAGTTACAGATTCAACATGAAGAACTTTTTGATGTTTAACTAATTATGCACCAGCTCTACTGAAATTACTTTCAGCATCCTCCCTAGGAACAAAAAGGTAGTAATGGAAATCATGCAATAGCTTTTTGTTCCACCCACTTCCTGATGCCCCACCCATAGGACATTAACTCTCCATTAAATAAATACGTAGCTATTAGTTTGTTCTATTATGTGCTATTATGGAGAGAATGAGTCAGATAACAACCTGATCTCCACAGATCAGTGTTGGAAGAAAAAAAATGTGAACCTAAAGAGGCAGAAAGTGATGAAAACCATGAGAATATCAGCATAAGCATAGGAGATTTGACAGACTTAAACATTGGGTCCTGTCTAACAAAATGAAATTAAATGTGGAGAAAAAGCAAGGTTTTACACTTAGGTGGGAAAAACCAAAGGTTTAAGTACAGATTAGGCGAAACCTGGCTCAAAAACAATAACTGTGAGAGGAACCCTGGAGACCTAGTGGACAATCACTTAAATATGAGCCAGCAGAGTGCGACAACAGCCAAAAAAGCTAATATAATGCTTGGTTGTATAAACAGAGGCATAGAATCAAAAGCATGTGAAGCATTAGTACTGTTTTATAAAGCCTTAGTAAGGCCAAACCTGGAATACTGCATCCAGCTTTGGTCACCACATTACAAAAAAGATATTGAGATTTTGGAAAAAGTGCAAAGAAGAGCAACTAAGATGATTAAAGGCCTGGAGACTAAAAGATATGAAGAATGTTGCAGGATTTGGGTTTGGCTAGTCTAGAAAAAAGAAGAACTAGGGAGGACATGATGGCAGTATTCCAGTATTTGAGAAGTTGCCACAAAGATGAGGGGGTCACCTTATTTCCAAAGTACCAGAGAGCAGGACAAGAAACAGTGGATGGAAACTAATCAAGGAGAGAAGCAACATGGAATTAAGAAGAAACTTCCTAACAGTGAGAACAATTAACCAATGAAACAGCTTGCCTTCAGAAGTTGTTGGTGCTTCATCACTGGAGATTTTTAAGAAGAGACTGGACAGTCACTTTTCTGAAATGGTATAGGGTCTCCTGCTTGAGCAGGGGGTTGGACTAGAAGACCTGCAAGGTCCCTTCCAGCTCTGATCTGATTGATTGATAGTTTGTCATTGCTGTCTCTGCTGATGGGTAACATATTGTTTTCTTTTTCCCTTGTGAATTTTATACCTTTGAAAATGTTAATGGTTTTATGTGTGTTCTCCAGTTGGTTCTTTTTTTATTATGACAAAGGTGTCATCTATGGATTACTATGGATGTGTGAGTCATTTACAACATACATTGTAAGGACTGCAACAACCACTATTTAACACAACAGGCAGAAGACTAGCAGAGTCCATCCATGAACACCAACTAGCTGTCAGAAGACATAATGAAAACTGTTTAATTTCACATCATATGACAGACATAACCATAGTTTAAGTGAGCATTCTAGACCATGCTAAGACTAAAAACTCTAGAGAATTCCTGGAATCCTGGCACTCTGACAAATCAGGCATCAATAGGTACATAGATATAAACAACAAAAGATAATCAACAATATCATTAGTGCTAGAAAACTTCCTCAGCAGCAATCAACACCCAAAGACTAACACTAACAATCAAAAAGGAACTGCCAAACAAGCTAACAATAGACAGCCCAACCTAGGTGGCACAATGATCCCATAGCAGATTTTTCTATTGTTCCCAATTAACAATTGTAATATATCATTTAAAAAGCAATAAAACATCATAATTTCTTCTCTAATTTGATTATCAGAAAATAGATAATCTGAGAGCAGGATTTAAATGTGTTTTTCCAAAGAAACAAATGGATGTGTGATTTTTATAAAATGTGAATATTGATTTTAATTACTATTACATTTTTAAATGTGCTTAAACTAGCACATTTATAATTAATGTTTTTTTTTTGTTCTTTTAGGTGAAACTGCTGTTGACTGGCAGTGGATTATCCTGGATGGCCCAGTAGATCCACGTTGGATAGAAAACTTAAATTCTGTGCTAGATGACAGCAGAACATTATGTCTTGCTAACAGTGAAAGAATTTATCTATCACCAGCCTTCAGAGTGATATTTGAAGTGGACAGTGTGTCTCAAGCCAACCCAGCCACAATTAGTAGATGTGCCATGGTTTATGTGGTATGTTCCATTAAAAAAAGTAATTGTATACTTTCACATAATATTTTATATTTTTCATTTGCCATCTTTAGGACAATAGCAAATAAAATTATATTTGTAAGGAAATGGGTGGTTTAATCCCACTTAATGAATTTCAGATGTAAAATGTGTGCATATGACTGGATAAATATATATTAAATATATTCATCATATAAATATATATATTTATAAATAAATATCTTCATTATAAATATATAAATATATAGTGAATATTTCATAATTCAGTTTCAGTATGATTTTGTGATTGTTCTAGAAATTAGTAAGATCAGATCCAACCAAGATCCCAAGTAGAATGAAGCTGTTATAGATTCATTGCCCTTTTTGTTACTTCTGCTGATTTGTTGTTTGCTACTGAATATATTTTCCATTTTAGTTTTTGGGCAGAATAGAGAGTTTTGGCACCGAAAGCAGTGGTGAGATTCAAATATGTGAACAACCGGTTCTCTGTGTGGATGCCAATTCCAGAAGTCTGTTCTCGGCCTGGGCAACAAAAAATTAGCTACCGGTTCTACCGAACTGGTGCAAACCGGCTGAATCCCACCACTGACTGAAAGAGATGATCCTAGCAACAACTGTAAACCTTTTCTGAGTTTATTGTTCTTATTCTTGGAAAGTAACCAATAACTGTGCATAATAAAACTCAGGAATAGATCTGAGCATTAGCAAATGACAGATTCGTATGAACGAGATTTCAAGTTGCTCCAAAAAGATTCATTTTGTTAAAGAATGTGACTTTCTACTGACTTTTTGCTAAACATTTCTTCCTTACACTAAACTATCTGAATCCTATCTTGGAAAAGTGTAAGATTTTAACTTGTAGTTCACACTCCTATATGTTAACATATATATGCTAACAGTAATAATCATATATTTCATTCTTTAATAAACCAAATTGTAGACATTATGAAAGAAAAGCTGAGTAGTTAACTTTAGAAATGGATCAATGAAAAAAATACTTCTGGATCATATTGTGTACATATAGTGCTACACAAAAAGTAGAATAATGAGATAGAACAAATAGTAGAACTGACATAATTACATATTGAGGATACACGATCACATTTTTTAAAAAGCTCTTCTACATGAAAATGACTTTGATCCCAAACACTAGCTTAATTGACATTTGAATGAAATGAGAGCGTTTTTTCAGGAAGCCTAGTAAAAATTTTCTTCAATTTCAGATGATAAAAATAATAGATGAGATATTTTTCAGTCAATTAGCACCGAGTTCTTTGAAATTTGTTTTGTATTCTTGGTAATCTTCTGAATAAAGCTCTAAGTGCAATACTTTGGGTGAGAGCTGCGTACATGAAACTTGCACACACAGAGAAGTGCACACATATACACACAGATGCAAAAATATATGTTAAATTGCATATACAAATAATTAAATAAAATCTTCAAATATATATATATATATATATTGCTGAACATCTCTTCGTATATTTTATTTAATTGCAGGATCCTGCTGATTTGGGATGGGAGCCTTATGTCAAAACATGGCTGCAAGGCATTTCTGAAATAATACCAGAAAATAGTATTGAATATCTTCAAAGTTTGTTTCACTCAAGTATAAATATAGGGTTAGCCTTTCTAAATAAACATAAGAAAATGCAAGCATTTCCTGTAAATCAGTTGGGGATAGTAATGAACATTTGCAGAATTATTGGTTCATTCATTCATGTAATAAAACTAAGTCAAGGATCACAAGAGAGTAAGTAAACTTTAACAAATGTTTATGGCAATTCTGTATATGCTAACAACTTGAAATAAGTTTGACTTTGAACTCTTAGAATTCTCAGTAATGGATATGATGATTGGGAAATGCTTGAAGTCCACACATCTTAGGAGTGTCTTCCAAGCAGGGGAATAATCAGAAACCATATTTGATAATTTAAATAAGAATAGTTGTCCCATTAGGAAAATCCACTGACCATAATAGAATAGAATAGAATAGAATAGAATAGAATAGAATAGAATAGAATTGGAAGGGACCTTGGAGGTCTTCTAGTCCAGCCCCCTGCTCAAGCAGGAGAACCTATACCATCTCAGACAGGTGATTGTCTAGTCTCTTCTTAAAAATCTCCAGTGATGGAGCGCCCACGATTTCTGGGGGTAAGCTGTTCCACTGGTTGATTGTCCTCACTGCCAAGAAGTTTCTCCTTAATTCCAGGTTGCTTCTCTCCTTGATCAGTTTCCAACCATTGTTTCTCGTCCTTCTCTCTGGTGCTCTGGTGAACAGCCTGACCTTGTGGCAGCCTTGTGGCAGCCCCTCAGATACTGCTATCATGTCTCCCCTATTTCTTCTTTTCTTTAGACTAGCCAAACCCAAGTCCCGCAGCCATTCTTTGTCTGTTTTAGACTCCAGGCCTTTGACCATCTTAGTTGCTCTTCTCTGAATTTTTTCCCGAACTCTCAATATCTTTTTTGTAGTATGGAGACCAAAATTGGCTGCAGTATTCCAGGTGTGGTCTTACTAGGGCTTTGTAAAGCAGTACTAGTACTTCGTGTGATCTTGATTCTATGCCTCTGTTTATACAATCCAGTATTGTATTAGCTTTTTTGGTTGCTGCTGCACACTGCTGGCTCATAGTCAAGTGATCATCTACTAGGACTCCAAGGTCCCTCTCACTGTTACTGTTTTTAAGCCAGGTCTCACCCAATCTATATTTGTGCCTTTGGTTTTTCCTGCCTAGTGTAAGATTTTGCTTTTCTCCACATTGAAACTCATTTTGTTGGATAGGGCCCATTGTTCGAGTTTGTCAAGATCTTTTATGATCCTGAGTTTGTCTTCTGGAGTATTGGCTACTCCTGACAGTTTGATGTCATCTGCAAATTTGATGTTCCCCTTCAATTCCCTCATCTAAGTCATTTATAAAGATATTGAAGAGTACTGGGCCTAAGACAGAACCTTGTGGTATCTCCATGTGGATGTAGTGCCATTGAAGACTACCCGTTGAGTACTGTTTGTCAGCCAGCTACAGATCCATCTGGTGGTAATGTTGTCTATTCCACCATTTTCTAGCTTACCAAGGAGTAGGTTGTGGCCCACTTTGTCAAATACCTTATTGAAATCTAGGTATACTACGTCCAGTGCGTTTCACTGGTCTACTAGTTTGGTCACTTTATCGAAGAATGAGATAAGATTGGTTTGGCATGATCTGTTTTTAACAAACCCATCCTGGCTGTTATTATGATTTTGTTTGCTTCTAGTTGTTCACAGATCTGTTTTTTTATTATTTTTTCTAGGATCTTCCCAGGTATTGATGTTAAGCTTATTGGTCTGTAGTTTCCTGGGTCCGTTTTTTTTTCCTTTCTTGAAGATGGAGACCACATCAGCCCTTTTCTAATCCTTAGGTACTTCCCCGGTGCTACAGGGTTTATAAAAGATGTGATGCGATGGTTCTGAGATAATATCTGCCAGCTCTTTCAGAACTCTGGGATATAATCTGTTGGGTCCCGGTGATTTATACTCATCAAGGTCGGATAGGAGTTCTCTTACCATTTTCTTGCTTATTTTAATTTTTGTTTCTAGTATGTCTTTTGCAGTGGGTTTTTTGGTATAGTTTCTTTTTCTGTAAAGACTGACACAAAGTATGAGTTAAGCAGCTCTGCTTTCTCCCTGTTGCCTGTAATTTCCTTGCCATCTTCTCTCTTTAGTAGGCCTACAGTTTCCTTGACTTTTTTTTCTTGTTGTTAATATGTTGGAAGAAGCTTTTTTATTGTCCTTGATTTCTGTTGCGAGTCTTTGTTCATTCTGGGCCTTTGCTTTCCTGTCTTCTTCTTTGCATGTTCTGGCTGTCTGCTGATAATCAGCCTTGGTTAGGTGCCCCTCTTTCCATTTTTTGTATTTGTCCTTTTTGTCTTTTAGTTTGTTAGAGAGATCTTTGTGCAACCATGCTGGTTTCTTTTTAGATTTCTTGGTTTTCTTTCTCAGTGATATTGTGCTGATATGGGCTTTTGTGATCACATTTTTCAGGGTTTCACACACTTCTTGGGTTGTTTTCCCCTTTAGGATTTTCATCCATGGGATCTTTCCTAGGTTCTCTCTGAGTTTGTTAAAGTCAGCTCTTTTGAAGTTTAAGACATTGGTTGGATTGTTTTCTATTGCTAGTGTTTGCACTATGTTAAATTCCAGTATGACATGGTCACTTTCACCCAAGGTTCCGGCAATTTCAATTCCCTCTATCACTTCTTCTCTATGTAACTAATGTAACTTAACATTAAAAATTTTATTTTATTCAAAAAAGTTAAAATACAAAAGTTCCAATTTTTTTTTACAAAAACAAAACAAACAAGACATTTAAAAAGTGCTTTAAAAAAGGGCACAAATACATATATACATATTGTCACTCCTATTTGAATACTGATATATATGTTGCAAAAATATTAGTTTCCCACCCCTTGCGAAACAGGCCCAGAAAGTTTTAAACATATAATTCTATTTGCAATAATTTGCTCACAATTATGCATTTTTACTTTGGTTAAAGTAACTTGGAGATGGGATTCTACAGGATTTCCAGCAAAAAGCAGGAAATGTTACATATTTTATTACTATTCAGCAGGTAGAATCAATCAATATCCATTCAAGATATCTAATTGCTTTGAGCTGAATAATCCTCCTATATGTTTTACGCTACATGTTTATTTAATATCTAATGCAAAATGTATTGTGCCAAAAATAGGAAAAAATAATCATATGTTAGGGAGTATTTAACTAAACTACCCTATATAAGCAAATTGCATTGTCTAATGCAATTGAAGTAATCCTGATATATTAGGAAGATCATATACTATTCCCATACAGTAATATATACTGCTCACAAAAATAAAGGGAACATTTTACCATGGAATTGAAGGGGTTTGTGTTCCCTTTATTTTTTTGAGCAGTATATATAAAGTGCATATAGATAATATTGAAACACTTAATATACTGAAGATGTATTTACAATTCATGACAATTTCTAAATTATCAGTGATGTTTTGATGTTTCTCAATGATTACTTTTTGAAGTAGATTAGAATCAAAGTAAAATATATTCACTGTAATCAAAATCAATTACATAGGAAATTATAATTGAATTGTAGAATGTATTCAACTATTTCTTGAAAGAGTTAAATATATAATAACTAACATTATATTAAAGATAAGAAAAGACGACAAAGCAGCACAGTGAGTTTTTCAATGGTAAACCGGAAGGATTCTTCACAATTTTTACATGCATTCAGTTCATTTAGTGGAACAGTCCCATCAATAATGAAGAAAAGGTAAGTGAATTAAGAGAATATAGCCACTTATTCATATTCCTGTTGAAGTAGGTTAATGGCTCTTCTAATTCAGCATATTGTATAATAGTGGTCAGCTACATGCTGACCACTATTCAGGAAGCTTGCAAATATGGGTTCTCTTCCACATTTGCTATCTAGCATCTGATGTTTATGGAATGCTGTCCATGATTTAGAAGATAGTAATCAGTCATCAAGACTAGGACTCACTGATCCTCCATGAATGTGCTCAATTTCCTTTTCAACTATCTAAATCAGGGCTTTTCAACCTTTTCACTGATTGTCCTACTTTTATAATATGGCAATATTCAAGTACCACCAGTCGCCTAGCAAGGTGTCAAAAACTTGATGACCAAAAAAAAAAACCCGGAAAAAAGTGATAAAGTACAGGTAGTCCTCACCCCCTTTAATATCCTCTCTTCCCCCACCCCCTTTAATATCTTCTCTTCCCCCACCCCCTTTAATATCTCTTTCCCCACCTCTTTAATATCATCTCTTCCCCCACCCCCTTTAATATCATCTCTTCCCTCACTTCCTGAACCTGCCTGTGCACGCGCAGAGGCTGAGGCAGAGGAGAGCGCAGCGGCGCATTCTCACCATGCGGAGTGGCCAGGCAAGGTGAACCGGCAACATGATGAACCTGCCTATGCACACACAGAGGCTGACGTGCATGCGTTCGTCTCTGCGCGCACATAGGCAGGTTCGGCATGTCATCGGTTCGCCTTGCCTGGCCATTCTGCACAGTGAGGAGAATGCACCGCTGCTTGCCGAAACCAGGCTGGGGTCTGGGCAGCAAAGCATAGATAACGTGGACTCTCATGCCGCTCGCAGCGTCCCCTCCCCCAGAGTCCACAGGTGTGTGAAAAGGGCAAGGGCCATTTGCTGGTCTCCTTCAGGGGATGCCTGTTTTTTCCCTCCCTTATTACAAATATTTTCCTGCCACTCTGCTCTTAATGCTGTGCAGCTCTTGTCCAGCACTTTACAGTGGCCTTTCCAGCCATGGCCACCGGCAGCACAGCCACCAGCCATGCTGGCAGCCTGTCCCCCTCCCCTTATCCCTTCTTGGGCACGGAAGGGAGGAGGGAAGGAAGGGAGAAAGAAGGAAAGAAGGAAGGAAGGAAGGGACAATGAGAGGGAGGGAAGGAAGGACTCTCATGCTGCGGCCCTTCCCCAGCTGCGTTTCTTACCTGTTTGTTGCTGCCACACGTGTGCAAACCTGGCCTATTTTTTGTCCTCTTCTCTCTTGCCTCTCCTTCTCCTTCTTTTACCTTCAGTGCAGCTCCAGCTGACTCTTCTTCCTCTTCCCAAGGCTGCGTCTTTTTTCTCTCTCCCTCTCCCGCCCAAACTGCCTTCTTTTATAGCTTCTCCTATCTCCGCCCTCCTCCTCCTTTCTCTTCCGGGTGTGCCAGAAGTGCTGATCCTGGGGGCTTTGCCTCACCCCAGCAGCCCTGCAGCTCCCAAGGATTCTCTCAAGGCAAGTCCTGTGCTGCGCTGCTTTGGCTCGTATCCTCCCCCGCTACCCTGGGCTGGGCTGGGCAGGGCCACGTACCACCTGCCACATGCCAATGTATCACAGGTGGTACGTATACCACGGGTTGAGAAGCCCTGATCTAAATCATTGACCAATTTGTTGGCCAATGTTTTAAATCTCTCTGCATCTAGTTTTAATGGCTAACACAATATTCTTATACAATGAAAGAGGGGTACATCATTCCATGTATGGTTTTCTAGATCCTATTATCTTTTGGCTTACCTGCCTCCTCACCAAGCTAAAAACTCCAAATCCTATTCTTGTATATTCTTAATCATTTGAGATTTTTCCTTTTTTTTTTCACCCATTCAAGTTTTATTGGTTTTTTAAAAACATAATGCTACTCTGCTCATTTCCTGCAGTTAACTAACCCAACTACTTCACTAAAACCATGACAAAATACTAAACTATCATATCAGACCAAATAATAATAACATTAACAATAATTTATTAAATTTGTATGCCATCTGATTCTCAATGACTATGGGAAGCTCATAACAATCTAACAAATTATGATAAAATTGGCAAACTATATAAGATAGCAAGCCAATCTTATACCTTAAGTCTAAGACATATAACTTGCAAAACAATAAATACAGTGTTCCTTTTTGAGATTTGATGATGATTTTGTTAATGTGTTCAATGGTGATTTTGTCAATGATTTATTAAACTTATATGCCATCTGGCTCTCAATAGCTGTGGGCAGCTCATAACAATCAAACGGATTACAATAAAATCAGATCTCACTCTTCCTCATCAAATACCTGTGTAAAAAGCCAGTTATTCATAAATAATAAAATATTCAGGATCTTAAAAATTAACGTGCAAAAGTATAAATACAGTATCCTTTTGAGGTTTAGTACAAAGTTGTATTAAGATAACTTCTTTATTCATTATTTTCAGGGATGGTCAGATATGGTTTTGGGAAAAGGAGCCTAATAAAATGCTCATATTATTGGGGAAAATTTTCATATTTGCATTTACTTGGGCTGTTGGAGGAATTTTAAAACGAGAGGAAGAACATGAAGGTGAAACTCTCATTGATATAAACACTAGCCAAGATGAACTTGCACATGTAACAAGTGACTTCAATTACCTTGTTCGTGATTTATTTGAAAAAAAACCACCTACTAGTAAGTTCTAAATTTTTACTGCTTTCACAATATAGTTATTGTATATATTTCAATTGCATTAATTGAATAAATATTTACATTAAGTAACAAATTAATGGAACAAGAAAGGGCCAAAGATATAATTTTATATTTCAGTGAAGCTGAACTATATAGTTTGGTTTCCAAAATAATGAAGTTGACAAATATATCAACTTATCTATATTTTCATGTATATGTACATATGTAAGTACCATCTATATGACTATAGATTTTGAATACAGAAGAGATTCCAACTGAATAAATTAGCTTAGAAACAGAAGACATGCAGAACAATGGAAAAGTCGGATGTTTCATGTAAGAGGACCTGGGATTCAATTTCTTTTTATACAAAGATATTAATAAAGAAGGGGAAAAGCCTTGGAAGTTGCTGCTTGTCAGCATAGACTAATTTAGTTAAATTAGCATTATTGCAATTATGATACACACATGACAAATCTACCAATTAGCAACAGAACCATTAATATAAATGTATTTCAATTTTTTTAAAAAAGAAAATTTTTGAAGCATACTTGTAGAGTTGTGAGTTTACTGTTGTGTCTTTTCTTTATATGCTTTTTGCCTAAAAGAATGCTAATTTGAGCACATTCCCTTTTGACTTTCTTCCCAGGCACATAGGCACAACAGACATGCTCTTAGATTCTTCTCCTGCTAGACTATAGCAAGCTAGATATTAAGCTTTGCCTAGCACAGTCACATATTCCCTAAATATAATCTCCTTTTTGTTGTAACTCTATAATAATTATATTGTGTTCTAAATAGTTTTGTTTGCTCAGGTCAGACTCCTGCTCTCAGGAATGTCCACATGCACACAGTGAATGTTTCACCTCCAACAATCTGAAGGGGAGCTGTGTTTGAGCTTGCTTAGACATAAGTACAGCTACTTAGCAGGATCTAAGATCGAGGTTTATTTGATCCCATTCCCTGTGCTTTAAATCTACATACATTCAAGCCAGTGCAGGGAGTGAGTAGGGTGGGGTTATATGACAGAAACATATCTGCTAAACACTTTATAGGAAAATATGCATATTCACCCATTAATTTTACACTATTTATGTAATAACACCCATCTTTCGCTTTTTGAACTTTCAGATATTCAGCTGCCATCTGGAGATAAAACTGTTTTTGATTATTTTGTGGATTTACAAACAGGAGAATTTGAACCATGGGGACATTTAGTTCCTAGCACGCAATTCCTTATCCAGAAAGGTGAGTATAGTTATAGTTGCTTTATGTTATTAAATTATTTTGAAAGTCCTGGAAAACATTTAATAAGTTTAGAGTTCAGAAACACACATATTTCTGAGAGATAAAGTGAGGCACTCAGTATTTGGGAGGAGAACAATACTAATATATTCAGAGATAAATTCAATGCTAGATGCTGAAGCCTAACTATAGAAATTAAAGCATAATACTGTATGATTGAGAATAGATTCCTACACATACAAGTACATTTTGAGCCACTAAGAGCTGAAAATATCATTGTCATCACCTCTGTGATACATGCCTTTTCCATTCACAGACAGCCATTATCACTTCAACAAACATAGATTCCTCACAAAAACTCAATATCACCTAATTCTAACCAGTAAAGTTTTACCAGGATTTATATAATTTATCCATCCACTTCTATTTATATGTATTGTTATCATTTCTCCCGCCTGTTCAGTGGCTTGAAGATTAAAAGGCAATATAAAAGACAGTTGTTTTCTGGTAGTCTTGAATGTCATAGCCTAATTGATCTTTGCAAGCTAAAATGTTATATCCCTCATCTATTTATCTATTTTTTTTGCCTATTCGTGATTTATACTATTTTAAGAATTTTTGATATTTTAAAATAATTGTAATCTTTTAAACTTCAGAGACATCAGATCTTTCTGATTCTGATAATAACATGTTAGAAAATCAAGAAAAGAAAATGGAGGCCTCTGCATTTATTCCCAATATTGATACAATTCGTCACAGTTTCCTAGCAAGTCTTCTTTTATTGTCAAAACATCCAGTACTGATTATAGGTAAGATCCTATTTAAATATTGAAAAACAAAATAGACTCTATCTTGCATTTAATTGTAGGATTACTCTTATATAATATTTTCATTGTATTATTTTAAAGCCCAGTCATAAAGATAACTATAAAACTCTTGTGCAGGTAAGTTAAAATGCCCATAAAAATTACTGAATTTTTTAAACAAATCTAAGAATTGTAAAACATAGTATTTTGAATTATCTGAGAATAGTTGGAATGTAATTGCTATTTTCAACACATGGAAAGTTAAGATTGCCAAACAAACAAACAAACCCTAGCTAATTTCTATGACAGATCTGACCTATGCAGTCCAAGAGTTGTAAGCATATAACACAGTTATGAAGCATTTAATCTAGACAATTTAAATTCCATTTATTTACAAGCTATATTTATACCTTCTCGATTTCTTGGGAAACTTTCCTCCTCCCAGTAAGACAGGGGCTTGAATTGCTCTTCTTGGGCCTATTGATATTGTCAAGAGAATTGTTATATAATTCTTATAATTCTTAGTTATCAGGTTATATAGATGATTTAGGAAGATAGAATTCTTTTTTTAAATATAGCGGACAATGTATTATGGAAAAATCAACACAGGTTGAACCAATATCTAGCCTAGTTTGAAATATGACTGATAATAATAATTTTAATTATTAGCTTTAGTTTTTAACAGTTTAATTATTTGTTTTAAAATATCATTTCATTATTTTAGAACACTTTAATTGTTGTTATTATGAGTTTTAATATTGTAAAACTTTATTTAATTATAGGATACCTTGCATAACATTTACTTGCCACAATGAGCAAACTAATAACGCAACAAGTTGTTGGATCAATTTGCTTACTGTAGGCCTGTAGTAGCATGTCCCTAGTCTTCCAGTATCTACTTTACTCAATCTTTGGGGCAAAAATACTTAAATACTTCAGGAAGTATCAAAACACCACTATTTGTTTCTCCCCTTTTCAGTCTCTTTAGATTTGTTTTTCTTTCAATGAAGATGACAAGGGCTAAACATTAAATATCAACAGAGAATGTTTAACCCTTGTCATCTTCATTGAATGACCTGCTTTTAAATACTGCCATGTATTCATTGAATGACTTGCTTTTAAATACTGCCATGTATTGTTCTTTCCAAATTACATGAGAAATAATACTATGCAATCTCCCTCAGATTATAAATTGTACTATTTTATAATATGCCAAAAAGTCCTTATATTAGGTACATAGTTCCCTGTATTAAGCTTAGTCATATCTTAGATTTCACTTTTCATAAGTGAAAAAAGTTTTCACTTACTTTTTTAAAAAAGATCCTTTGTACTGATCCTTCATCATATTTAGATGATTGGAAGATTATGCCATTTTGCTTTTTCTAGGCCTTCAATGTATCCTGCATAATCCTCAAGATGATAGGCTGCGTATAACAATAAATTGGTTTGAGGATGGGGTTGGACTAGAAGACCTCCAAAGTCCCTTCCAACTCTGTTACTCTATTATTCTGTTAAGATAGTTTCTAGATTAAATAAACTTTATAGAATAATATGAGCATGCTTGAAGTAAAATTGTGGTTGTCTGCATGGCATACTGATCAGAAGTTGCCAGAAGTAATCAATTGTCTCCTTATTGTTTATATCTTTTCTGTTTTACCAACAAGTATTATGTAAAAAAACCTTGACTGACCAAAGCCTAAATGAATGGTGGAAATTAACATCTATAGACCTATTTCAGGACAAACATGGCAGGTGATAGGTGTAAGAACTTTAGATAGAAGAAGAATAAATGATAAAGTATATGAATTAAATTAAAGAGATAAAAGATTATAAGTATGTTATTTGCTAAGGAATATGATGTATTGGATCTGAATGAAAATAAACTGATCTTGAAAGGTGGAGCTAAAACATCCCTTTTACATCAGTTAATCTTTAATACCAGATTTTGAGAGAATCTCATTCCATAAGGCAGACACTGCTACATACAACATGCATTTCTGGGGTCCTGATAGATGGCATTGTTTAATCAAAGGAATTTGGAATGTGCCAATCCTGCAGGGTCAGATTGGCCAGGCAGATACTATGAGAGACAAGCAGTCCCTCAAACAACTAGGCCAAGTAGGGCTTCATAAGTAATAACCAGCAAAATTGAATTGCACCCAGTGAAGCAAACCAGTGAAGTTCACGAAGCACAGGCGCTACATGATTATAATGAAGAATGCCCGTTACTGCTTGTGCCTCCACGTGCTGGACTAATTGAAGTTTTCAGGTGATCTTTAAGGGCAGCCCAATGTAGAGTGTATTGCAGTAGTCAAACCGTGAGGTGACTAGGGCATCAGTGACTGTCTGAAGGCCCCCAATCTAGAAAAGGGCTCAACTGGTGCACCAGATGGTACATAATCTTTTCTAGTCCAGCTGAATATGCTCTTCAACCAGGAGCTTCAAGTCCAGGAAAATCCTCAAACTGTATATCAACCTTGAAAGGGAAATTTCTATCTCATCCAAGATAAATGATGGAATCTGGCTCAAACACCGACAGCTTGTATTGCACAATAAATGCACAAAATATATAATAAAATTATAGTGTGTACAGTATTATTGTCCCCTTAGTAATTCTTGTTAGAATAGTTTTCAGTTAAAATAATTTTGGTGTTTCTTTTGTTTGAAATTTATTTTCTTAATTACAAATTACAAATTAATTACAAATCTAGCTGAATGTTTTTATTAATTGGAATTACAAATTTTATAATTTCTTCACCTCCTTCATTATAGCGATAGAAGCCTGATAGTCTGTTCTATAATTTTTAGGAGACCCTGGTAGTGGAAAGACCACTATGATAGATAATATGCTTGGAAGACTTCAGAAAGATGGCTTAAATATAAGGAAAAAAACAATATTAGGAGAGGTCTTTTACTACAACCAAACTAAAATAACAAGGTAACTGCTAATAAACTTAGAGGGTAATTCAAGCTCTTTCTTGAATATATTGATCCTAGGTATTTCAGCAATACCTGACTAGTATATTACTAGTAAAACAAAAGTGAGAATATCTCTTTTCTTCCCAGTGTCATTTTTTAATAGAGTCTGGTTTGGGGTCATGGCAAAGGGCTAGAAGAGTTTTGAAACCTTTATATCTACATCTCCAGTCTCCAGGTTTTTTTTTCTCCTGTTCTGATATATGACTTTTCCTCTCAGGGGGAAGAGTCACTGGGCTTCTCTAAAGCTAAATCACAGTTGGTCATGCCTGTCTGATGTGGCACAGTGTATTTTCTTTGAATAAAGTTGTTAAGGTTGATGACTTATCTATATAAATAAATTAACAATAGTAAAGTAATAATAGATTCAAATTTAATATACTGGAAAATACTAGAAAACAAAAACAAAAAAATTTTTGTTTGATGATTTTATGACAGAACTGGCAAACTTTATTAATTTGTGTTTTCTTCATTCTGTGTTTATGTTTTATTGTCTAGCTTGATGAGGAACTACAGTGCATTGAAAACAGATCAGTTTCGTGGCTCTTGGAAAACACATTCTTCAACCAAACTATTACGTATGTCATTGATTAAAAAAAATGTTTTAGGGTTAGATTTTGTTTTGAATGAGGATATATTAAATTTTAAAGAAATAAGTTCTTAAAGTCCAAATAATACCTAACGCTAAATTCTGAAATCACATCTTTAATAAAAAAGAACCTACTAAAGAGATTAAGATTGGACAAATTTAAAAGGAAATTAAAAGTAAAAAAATAGTTCCATACAATAGCTAAGAATTTTATTCCTCTGACTTTATTTCATTGCTCTATATGCATCTGGGTTTCTTTGGTACATATAGAGAGCATATTGATATCTTTCACTGCCAGCCTAATATACTAATTAATTTATAACATTTATAAACTGACTCCATAAGGTTTTAAGTGGTGTAAATAAGACTAATAACGTAATACAATAATAATAATAATACAGTAGGGGAAACCAATTTATGGCATATTCTTTTGAACCTTCTTATAAGCCTTTTAAAACATTGATATATTGCCTTAGGATACAGCTGCCTTATTCTTAAAGTTGAGAATGTTGAAGTAGATTCATGACTGGCACAGAGTAAATTTATTTATTGAATTTTTAACTGATTCTATTATTTTGCTTTGTGCAAAGTAACTTATTTTATAGCTTTGTTGAGAAGTGACTGCCCTTTGAATCTTTCTACCATTTCAGAATGCAAATTTTAATAAATTTGTTCTGAATACATATACACAGGGCTTTTTTTGTCATAGAACGCCCAGAACGGAGTTCCGGCACCTTTTTTGGATGGAACCTTGTAGGGTAGGCAAGGTGGGTTGTATGATGTGTGAGTTCCGGCACCTTTTTTTTTTTTTTTTTTTTTTTACAAAAAAAGCACTGCATATACATGTACTTGTGTGTAAACCAGTCTTAACACGACTGAGAATTGAGCTCAACCTGAAATGGTTTTTAGCTTTACTTCTGTGGTTTTAGAAAAAAATAATATCCAAAAGGTATTCTAACAAGGAATTCTATATAATTATATCAACAAAAGTATTACACCTACTTTAACCAGGAAAATCAGATCAGTAGCACTTAAATTGCCTTAAATGCAATAATAACGCAGGTAAGGTTTGCTGGCTCAAAATGCCTCTTTTCTACTTGATTCTGATCTTACTGCAGCTGTTATATAGTAACAGTTATAAATTATATTACAGTTAATTTTTTCTTGATAATTTTTTTAAATGTATGAATATACATGTATGTATATGTAAATTAGGAATATGGAAAAATATAACCCCCCAAAAGGTTAAATATTATGTAAAATTCTAACAATTCAATTTGTTAAAGTTTCAGCTCTCAGCTCAGTAAGAGAGGATTCTGATGTAGAAGAACCATCTTCAGGGCCTATCATTTGTAAATTACAATTAGGTGCCCATACAACTGCAGCTCAAACGAAGAGTTTGATGACACAGAAATTAATACTGAAAAGTAAAGATGTCATGGGTGCTCCACAATCTAAACAAGTAAGAATTTTAATGAAAGCTTATCTGTAACTCACATACATAACAAGCAGTTTATTCAATCTTCATTTCAAAGAGAATCTATTTGATTCACACTTAGTCTAATGCAAGAAATAGAACATATTAACTTTTTAAAGGTTTCAAGAATCTCTAGAGGTCCAAAGTAAAATACAAAGCAAAAATTTACATTTCAGAAAGTTGCCAAATCTCAGAAAATTTCAGGTGAGATCTTGCAAAATTTAATGATCTTAGGAAACTTTTAAAGCTATTTTAAAGAACATCCTATTTTTAGGCGCTCATTGCTCAAAAGGGTGCTGATCTAGAATGCACTTTTTGAGAGCTAGTTCTCAGTGCCATTGGTGAATATTCAGTTGATCTGGAGTAAAGGTGACTTTTTTCTTTTCCTTTGTATTAAAAATTGAGCATGAATAGAGCATAGGAAAAAGAGGATCTTTTAATGATGAGCATTCTCATTCACTCAACTTGATGATTACTACTCTTACTGAATAGGAGCCACTAAACTTTAGAGAAAAAAACAAATTAATTCTACTGCTACTGATTCTTTTTCTATCTATCTATCTATCTATCTATCTATCTATCTATCTATCTATCTATCTATCTATCTATCTATCTATCTATCTATCTATCTATCTATCTATCTATCTATCTATCTACCTACCTACCTACCTACCTACCTACCTACCTACCTACCTACCTACCTACCTATTATTTTTTTTAGCAGATAAAACCCCCAGCAAAACAATTCTCAAAATGCTTTAAGATCATGCTGCTTAAATTAAGCAACAAAATAGGTATTTTAGAGATGAACCATTTTAAAGTTGTGTTTTTAGTATTGCATTGGTAGGAATTGTAGTGGGAGTACACTGGGAGTAGTAGTGCTTCTATTATCATTTTTAAATCCCTATACTAATAGTCTTCATTTAGCAACCACAATTGGGACTGGCAATTCAGTCAACAAGTGAAGCAGTCACTAATTGAAACCACAACTGTGCTTATGATCTTACTTCAGTTCCCTTTGCTTTATAAACCGGCAAAAGTCATAAATGTGAGGATTGGTCGTAAAGTTACTTTTCCATCATAAAGTTACTTTTTCATCACTGTTGTAATTGCTAAATGAGATAGTTGCCAAACAAGAATTACATTTAAAATCACTGAAAGCCACAAAAAAGTACCAAAGGTTTCAAACATCCTCCTTTACTGACAGCATCAGAAAGTCTTTGGCTCACAAGAAGCAAGTTGTGTTCTCCAGCCTAGAACAAATTGTCTGTCTCTGTGTTACATAGAAAGGAACTGAGGAAGAAAACAGGAAAAGAGTTATACATAACGAACAACACCCATCCCACCACCCAAAAACAATTTTTGGGTGAGAGAGAAGGAAATGGGTCACAATTGGGCATATTTTTCAATATTTCTAGGCATCTGCTCAATTATGTTACAAGCTGCATCTGGAAAAATGAACAAGAAATGGATGTGCTGAATTTGTTCCATTAGTGGTGGAAAATGAAACAGAACACACGCAAACTTTGATTTTTGCCTAGACTAGTTCCATCAAATGCAAATAATCCTAATTCAGATAATTTATTAAAAAACTCTTTGTTGGAGCCAATTACTAATTCTGTGGGTGTTTAGGAGGATTTTCTAGGCCACCTCTTTCAGTGTGACTGAGTACAACAATATATACTGTAGAATAGAATAACAGAATTGGAAGGGACCTTGGAGGTCTTCTAGTCCTGATATATATGCATAATGGATCGTACTTATTACATGTAAAAATGAAAATGCCAAGATAGAAATTAAGTTCCTAATATTTTTGTTAATATACTTCAGATGTGATAGTCATTTGTGATTTTTATTATACTTATTTCAAGGCACTACTGTTTATTGATGATCTGAACATGCCAATCGCAGAAGCATATGGATCCAAGCCACCGTTAGAGTTCATCCGTCAGTTTGTGGAGTTGGGAGGATTTTATGATATTAAACACCTTGAATGGAAGGTATGTTTAATATGGGTAACATTTCTTTTGTTATTTCTGATTTTTGTTAAACTAAGGTTTTTCATTAAGAATTTGTCATGTAAATATAGTATTGTGGATCAGTTGAAATTCATTCTCATGTTAGGTGATCTATATTCTTAGTCACATAGGCTTAGGAGAGAAATTAGGGTTTTAAAATTCATTTTTAAAGTACAGGTAATCCTCAAGTTATGAATATAATGGAGTCTGCCAATTACATACATAATCCGAAATTTGTTAATTGGAACTCATTAAATGAACAAGCCCCATCTCTCCTGTCCTCAAAGCATTCATTAATCAAATGCATGGGTTGCTAAGAGCTCATGGAGTATCTCAGGAGTGGGGAAGACCATGGGAGGCCTAGTGCAGGAACAAGACCATTGTCTACAGCCACTAAAGGCCTCCCCCCACCCGCTGAGAAATCCTAAGCTCCTCTTCCCACTCCTTAGGCTCCCAAGTGCTTGGGATTTTCCTTCCCACCCCCTCACTGATTGCTCACTTTCCTTTGGCACCACACTCATCTCCTGTGCAGCCTTGAGTGCTGGAGCCCTTGTCCAGCCAAGTGGAGAAACACTGGCATGCCTCTCCTCTTCCCCACTGAGCCCCAACCTCTCTCACAAGTGAATGCGGTCCTGCCCCTCCACTTGCTAGAGTGCCGAATCACCCAGATTTCAGCAATTGCACTGCCATGAAGAGACTGGGGCACCTCTGCCCTGCACCCTTCACTTGCAGTCCGGCGGAGAACTGCCTCCCTGACTGTTGTGGCCTGCAGGTGCCTTCCTGCCCCCCAGATTTCCCACTCCAATTTCTGAAATTGCATGCTGTGGAGCTGGAGAGCTTGGTGCACCTCTACCCTGTGCCCCCCCCTTGCCAGATGCACACTGAGGCCTTTTCCAAATCATAAGAGGGGCTCCTAATCAGACCTGCTTTCCAGCTTCATCACATTTCTCCCAGCAGCTCAAGATGCTCTTCTTTCGCTGGAGAAATGGAAAAGCTATATTACAAAATGAAGAAACACACAGGGAAACTAAAGAAAAATCATCCAAAGTCATCACTTTCCCAACGCGGAACAGGAGAGACCAGGCAACTCCATGGGGCAATTTTAATGAGAAGTTGGAAAGACTGATCTTACTTTTTGTTTTTTTAGCCCCATGAAGAAAGCCAGACTTGGTCATTCCCAGAACTTGCCTCGTGGAGTTGATGGATTTCCTTCTTACTTGTAGGTTGGATTTCTCTTAAACAAGCTTCTGCTCTTTTTCTCCTGCCCTCTGGTGCCTTAGAGAGCAAGTCAATCCCTTCTTCTTTGTGATAGCCTCTCAAGTACTGGAAGGCAGTTATCATGTCCCCCATGCTTCTCTCTTATAGGCTGTACATACCTAGCTTCCTCAACCATTCATCATATGATTTAAGGCTCTTTATCATCTATTTTGCTTTTCTATGCACATTTCCAGGATCTCAACATCTTTTTTGTATTTTGGTCACCAGAGCTGGATGCAGTACTCCAAGTCTGGTCTTACCAGCAGGGTATAAAGTGATGCTATCATTTCCTGTTGTCTTGACACTGTCCATCTGCCTAGGACTGCATTGGCTCTTTTGGCAGCTGCAGCACACTGCAGACCCATACTTAAGTGGTGGTCCACTAGGACACCGAGATCCCTCTCAAAATTACTACTGTTGAGCCTATTCTGTACCTATGCATTTGGTTTTTACTGCCTTAGTGCAGGACTTTACTTTTCTCTCTATTAAACTGCATCTTGTTGGATAGGATTGACTCAGTGCTCAAGTCTGTCAAGATCCTTTTGAATCTTAAGCTTATCTTCTAAAGTGTTTAAGTATATCAGAGTTTTAAGTAAATTAATTAAATTAATTTCTTATGTTCACATCTGAATTGCAGACTTTTTACTTACTATTTTGATTTTTCAATTCAGGTTTTTAATTATACAGTCAGCAGCTATCTTGAGTTTCTAAGCTAACTAGTTACATTATGAATTATACTATAGTTATATTACAGATGATTCCATTCACATTTTTCAGTTTTAAAGTTGTTTTTTCTTGTGATTATTCAATAAAAATCTTAATGAACCTGAAATATTTCTGAGGAGATTTGTACTTTTGCCTATACTAGAGATATATGAAGCTCTGTACTTACCATAGGAATAGATGGATTTTTAAAAATTGTATTAGAACCTTTTCATAAAAATGTATAAGTTCATTATCAATCATTCTGATATTATACAATATTATACATATGTTGATTTATAGGCTTTTTTAAAAAAAATTCTATCTTATGTATTTTTCTAACAGCATGTTCAGGACATTGCCACAGTTGCATGCTGTACACCTCTAAATGTAGGAGGTAATGAGATTAGTACTCGTCTTCTGTCCCATTTTTGCATTTTAGTTTTGCCTGCAACTTCCTTACAGTCTTTGCAACGTATTTTCCAGGTAACTATCCCAAGACCTTTATTTATTTAGTTTTACAAAGAGCAAAATGAAACTAATGATATGTAACTGAAAATTATAGCAATAGCATTTAAACTTATATACCAGTGAACTTAAATGGACTCCAGGAGATGGTAGAGGACAGGAAGACCTGGAGGAACATTGTCCATGGGGTCGTGATGGGTCGGGCACGACTTCACAACTAAGAACAACAACAACCACTTTACAGCCCTTTCTAAGGGGTTTACAGAGTTAGCATATTGCCACCAACAATCTGGGTCCTCATTTTACCGGCCTCAATTTGCAAATATGTAAAATAATGTAGCTTGCTATAAGTATGTTAACCACAGTTTCTTTAAAGTAATGTACATAATCTGTAATGTACATAAAATGTTTATAATTTTTTCTAAATGTATAAAATATTTTTTGTAGGTACGCCTGGGAACATACTTTTACATCAATAGATTCTTGGTTGAAGTTCAGAAGTGTACAGATAATTTAACGTGTTGCTCTATTGCTCTGTACTATAGAATGCTTCATAAAATGCTTCCAACACCTGCTAAATGCCATTACATATTTAATCTACGAGATCTTTTTAAGGTTTGCATTTCTTTCAATTGGTTAATGGTTAATCAGTGAAGTATATGTAGTCTCATTTGATGACCACATTTGGGACCTGCAAGTCAGTCATTAACCGAAGCCATTGCTAAGTGAAACAGTGACTATGCTGATGATTTTACTTCAACCTTCCTTTGCTTTACAGACCAAAGAAGGTTGTAAATGCAAGGATTAGTCATAACATTACTTTTCAATCATTATGGTATCTGAACAGTCACTAAAAAAGACCTGTATTCCATAAATTAGAGAATAGGGAAGCAAAAAGTCTTTTAAATAGAAAGATTACTTAAAAGATAAAAACATAAATAGGTTATGATTAAAACTGTCAAAATGTGAAGAAGGGAAGAGGATTTTAAACCAGAATGATACATTTTACTGAACAACCACAAATTCCTTTTTTATTGGCTCTCTGCTTCCTTTTACAGTACTTGTCTTGCTATTAACCCTGTGTCATCATACTCAATAAACATATACATAAATAATACTATATAAGCAAAGAATGTTCACAAGTAGATAACTATTAGTCAATATGCACATAAAGTATGGATTTAAAGTAACAAGAAGAGAAAACTGGGTCTATGTTGGTTAAAGCTTTAGTCCTGTCCTTATCAAAAAGGGATAACTAGGGAAAATATAGCAGTTACTGTCGTTGTATAAAATTTTCTAAGAAAGAAGCAAACAGTTGCAAAATTATATGACATGTAGCACTCTGTAATGACACAGGCAGGAATTCTGTGGGCTCATTCCGATATGAGCTTCAGTAGATTTTCCTTCATTTGCACTGAATGTTGCTAACTTTTCTATAGTGATTTATTAAATACATCAAATGGGGAAAACACTGATTTTCCTTCTGAGGATGGTTTGGATTCAATATCTTGTTGAATAGTTTATAAATTATTCAAAATATGATCCATATTAGTAAAACAGGTAACATTTGTATAGATATTATTTATGGGATATCCTAAGTATTATCAACTTAAGATTATTTCAAATGTTATCTATCGCATAGAACCTTTTGGGCACCACGGACTGGTTCCATGGAGAGAGGTTTTTCCACAGACCGGAGGGGGCATGATTTTGCATGCTGCCTGCATCACATGGATAGGGCTTCGCTTGTTTGCTCAGCCTGGGTTGTTGACATGCCGCAGACCAGTGCTGGTATATGAACCAGGGGCTGGGGACTCCTGTCATAGAATCAAATTCAGACTTAGCACCACCTTTGTGAGTTGGATAAGGAATGCATTTCTACACATTCATGGACATAGTTTTCAGTGAATAGTAATTTGTAAAATAGTTGGAATTTCTTGTTTGTATTAAGGTGTTGCTGTCATTAAGATTTATTCTGAATATGTTGGTATGACTAAGATTTATATTACCAATATCTGTGGAATGAAATTTCTTTTGAAAGATAATTCTGTTGTCTAAAAATGGAAAACTTTGTTTCTTTTATTAATATCTGAAATGGATACCTCACCCTTCAGGGCTATTAAGCACTGCAGTATTGTAAAATACCTAAAGCAACCATAGGTTAGCATAGCATGATAAAAAAAAATGAAATCAGTACAGAAGATAGCTTAAACGTTTTAGTAACTTTAATAATAATGTGAATATAGCTTCAGTTCAAAAAGTTACTGTTAAAATCAATACTGTAGGTACTT